TTGCTGTAATCTATAAAGCAAAAACATGGTTTCTCTGGAATTCTTTCATACATTCCAGTAGCCAAGATATACTTGCATCATGATCTCTAGTGTCGCTTCCTTTCCTAAATCCAATTTGAGCATTTGGCCTCTCCCTCTCCCTCTCCCCCCCCCTCTGTGTGTGTGTGTGTGTGTGTGTGTGTGTCAGTGTCCAGGTAGATTTGGATCATACAGAAAAAACAATGTTTGGCAGAGAAAAGAATAAACCGAACTTGGTCTTATCCATTACTGTAATCATTCTGGGATAGAATGTGAACAGAATGCTTCTCTACTGCGAGCTATTGTTTTGTTTTCTATGTTTATTGCCATATTATTCTTAATATTTTGACACAGTCATACCCCAAAGTGAAATAGCTCTATTTCCCATATATTCTTTGCAATGTATTTATTTCAAAACTTTGAGAGAAACTTTCACTTCATTTTCTAAAACAACAGGTTTTTAATCTTCTTTGAAGCAAACTGTAATTCTTACATCTGTTCTGTACAATTCTTCAGCATACTATTTCCACTTTTGTCTTTCACCTAGATTTTTCAACATCATTAGCCGTGGTTTCAACTTATCCTTGATTTCTTCAACCTTCTGGAGGCACTCTCTCAAGTTTCCATTTTTACCGTCCTATTCTGTTTGAGATAATTATTACACTAGCTCTCTTTGTCCCTAAACATAAGTTGCAGAAAAGCCGCGTTCAGGACTCTTACTTGATTTGCGTCACTTTTCACTTAGCACATCATCAACAATTTTAATAGTTTTTGTTAGTCATCCATGAAGGATTTTTTTTCTTTTCTCTTGGCTACAAGAACAGTCTTTTTTGCATTCTTCCCTGAATATATTTCTGGTTTTAGTCCACAAGTCTTGTGATTCATGGCAGCCTGACCTCAGTAATTTAAATCTGTTCTTTACATGGTCTTCAAATTCTTTAGAGTTGTTGTTTTAATTTTATTTTGGTGCCATGACTGTTTTGCTATTCTTTTACAGCTTTCCTCCAATTTTTCATATTAATAGTTCATGGCCTGTATCATACACTACTCCTGGTCTGTTTTTCAGAAAGAACAGAGCTTCTTGATTTTCTCCTTCTATTTATTGTATATGATCTATTTGATTGTCCACCTAGCGATATCCACATGCATAAACATCTGTCTGGTACCTTGAAGCATACATTTGCAGTAAACAGATTTCTTGCTTTACAGAATTATACAAGTTCTTCTTGTGCTTCATTTCTAGCACCAAATGCTCAAGTGAAGTTTGGTTCTATCTGATTTCCCACTGTTGTGTTCCCACCATCTGTGATTATAAGCACATCCTGTTTTGGTGTGTAATCTATTTCCTCCCCGGCACTTGCATAAAAGCTTTTTATTTTGTCTTCTTCAGCTTCTGCAGTTGAAGTACACACCTTCATGATGGTTATGTTGACTGCCTCTCCACGATTGATGTTAATTCGCCAGACCTTGCATTATAGAGTCTATAACTGTTTTTGGTACATCTCACCTCACTATTGAGCCATCCTGTTATTTCTGAGTTGATGTAGCAAAACATTTTGTACATAACTGAAAATGCCTTTCTATAGCCTATTTAGTTCACTCATGTCAATTATTCTGATGACTATAAATTCCATTTCTTGTTTTATAATTTCAGGCTTATCTTGATTTTAACATTTCAGGTTCCAATTATACGCATCATGGCGCTTTCGATTTCTCTTTCACACATGTGGACAGCAGCAGCTTAATGTCCATTTCCCTTTTATCCAGCTGCTATACTAAGAACAGTATTACTTGCACTCATCTCTAGCTGTTCCCCAATAACTGAGTGAGCACCTTCCAAACTGGGAGTCTTAGCTTTCAGTATTATTTTTTCTTTCATTCTGTATTGTCTCACTGTTGGCTTTTCAAGGCAGAAAGCCTTTAGAAGTGGTTTTCTCTTCCCTCCTTCTGCTCAGTACTAATAAGAGTTAGCTTGAGTATCCCTGCTGTAGTTTATGTAAGATCCTATTCTAGATTTTATTTCCACTACTACTTCTGCCCAGTAGCTGACATTCAAGAATTTTTCAATTCCCATCACCACTAGAACTATAAATTAATTGACAACTGCTAATCCCTGAAAAGGATCATTGACCTGCTTAACAAAATGTAACCTCCTCACAGTATTGTGGTTAACATCCCCGACACACTCAGACCCCTTCACCATGTTACAGTGAATATCCAAGAAATAACAAAGTATTTTTAGGAACCTTAAAAGGCAACTACAGAACTTTCTCATCCTAATCTTATAACTTTGCACAGAATAGTTAGAGAGATGAAAGTGAAGAATTAAGTTCATTTGATACAGTTTACTCAGGATAGGAACAACGCAACACAGAAACCTCTCCCCTTACTCTCTCCAACACACCCATTACTTGCCCCCCCCCAAATATTATTCCCTAACCACAGCTTTTTATTTTTGAAGACATATAACTCCCTTTCAGAACATACATATTAGAACCTAGTGATTGGCCTCTACAACACATTATTACAACAGGGTTTATTTATATTTATGTGACAGTGTCCCAGCAACACTGTCACATTCCTGTGATGAATGTTGACAAATTTGGGGAATCTAGTAATTAAAAAACACATGTGACTATGTCTGTGATCCTATACCTTGGATTTCACAGGCATAGCTTATTATCTTTGCTCAATTTATACGGCACATGAAAAGTAAATATTAAGGTATTAAACTAAGATTGTTAGATCAAAACAGCAAGGAGGGGGGAACTCATACAATATAGGTACGAAGAGATAACAAGAAAGATTTAAAGAACTCACAACAACTTTCTGGTATGCTGTGCTAGCTCTGGCTTTTCAAAAAGCAGAGCATTTTTTTGCCTATGTCAGACAGGTGATCTTTGATGTTTTACCAGGCACTGGTCCTACAAAACCAGACATGCTAATTACACCATCCCTTCTTGTCACTACTGTATTGTTCAACCTCTCACTTGTCATTCATACTCAAATCTAACTGAAAGTCAGACACTGGATGATAATTCCTCTCTCTTCACCCTAGACCAGTAGTTCCCAAACATGGGCAACACAGGGGTTCTTGGACTGCAATTCCCAGAAGTGTTCACCACTAGCTGTGTTGTCCAGGGTTTCTGGGAGCTGCAGTCCAAAAACACGTGGATTACCCAAGGTTGGGAACCACTGCCCTAGACAACCAAACACACTGCATATGTTCAAGTAACTCCTTTAGTTAGCTACTTAAGATACAGTATTTTAGGTCTAAATTCTAGCACCGAAAGTAATGTTAGGCCTAGCAACCAGTGCAAATTTCTACCGATTCCCCATCCTACCATTGTCCCCAATGTTTGGGCAACTGAAGCACCATCCTCTTAATTCCCAACACTTCTTTCAATCAGCAGGCGTTTAGGATATAAAGCATAATTAAATTGGGCAAAGCAGAAATCTAGGTGGCAAACTAGGTGTAGGTGGCTGCACCTTCTGTTCAATCAACATTTGCTCAAGCAGCCCCAGTGGGCATTAGCCACCACCGCCTGACCCAGTGGTTAATTTCTAAGAGAGCTCCAGGGGAAAAATCTGCCTGGTATCTGCCTTGGTGGAATAATACAGTTCCCTCAGGTCTCACACATGGAACAGAACTCATCAACATTGACTAGCACTGCATTCAAGTGGGGGGTATGAGATGATGACAAGAAAGGACACTCAAATGAACGGCTTTCAGGCCTCCCCCTTTAATAAAACAACTCTAGTAGAGTGGGAATGGAAATGCACTTGACACATGCTTTTCGATCTCTTAATTCTAGGATTACTTTACTTTCCCCTAACACTGTTTAACAGTATGGAATGGAGAACATAAATGTTGCCATAGAAGACAATCTGGTTCAAATGCTATCCATCTCAGCAGCATTTAAAAGAAGTACACAAATATTGTATAACTGTTCGGAGCAGAAAGTCATGAAAATACTTATGCTTCCTCCCCCTCCGTTTCCAGGTTGGAGAAGCATTTTCTACGCCAAAGATGAAGACCTGGTCTTGTTCCCATGATCAGTATTAACTGTAAAGTGTACCCTCATTAAGATGACAAGTTGCCACTTTTCAAACCAGTGGAGCTGTGACAGACTGCCATAGAGTGAGTGGGTGAGGCTTTTCCTGGAGCAGGAAGGAAGTAATGGAGGATGGTTTCACCAAGAGCTTTGACACACTTGCAAAATGCACAGGAGCCTTATTAGAAAGAAAATGGGCAACACTGCTGCTCCTCAGATGCCCATTTCAGAGAAAGCTTTGCCATGTGGATGAATCCCCCAGTTCTAGTACAAAAAGTGTATCTGAGGCTACCCAGGAATGAGGAAGTAGCTGTTGAACACACACACACACACATACATATACATGCACAAGGCAGAAACAAAATGCAGAACTCAGCACCCTACACGAAAATCCCCAGCAATCCAGACCAATGAAAACCTGCATCTAAGATTTTCATCTGGAAAGCTTTTCACCTGTGTGATTAAATCAGCCTGCAAGGCAACTTGTACAAATTCAGCATTCCCCCCCCCAAAAAAAAAGACTTCAAAAAAGGATGCCGGGAGTTGGGGGGGAGGCAGCCTCCAAAAGACTCACAGACTTATCATGACATAAATATTCCTGCACCCTTCATCACTTATTGGGACTACAGTCCGCAAACAGCCTCTGACACGATAAATCTGCGCGTCTCGAAGTTTTGCCACCGGCGTGCGCTGGAAAAGGACCACACAGCCACCTTTCGCCAAGGAGCTTAAAAGAAAGTCAGTAAAAGCGCGTCCCGATTCTCTCCCGACTTCATAACATTCCCGCGTGGCGGCCAGACGTCGGAACACACACACACGCGCGCGAGCGCGCCTGCTTCCCTCGCTCCCTCCCTCCCTGGGGGCTCGTCCTCCAAGAAGAGCGCCACGAGTGAAAGCGGCGCTTTTTTTTTTGTCCCGCGGGCTCACCTCAAGGTCCGGACCGGTATCCTTCGTCGTGGAAGCAAGTCTCGGCCGAGGAAAAGAGGAGGAGGAGGAGGGCCGATGCGAGAAGGGGCTCCGTCCGTGTGGCAAACGCGGATACTGTATACTTTTTTTTTTCAAAGTAAAAAAAGGGAACCCTCCAAAGAAATAAAGAAAGCGAGAGAAAGAGAGAGAGAGAAAGCGTCCTCGTCAGAGGAGCGCCATGTCAACGCGGAGGGGGTCGGAAGAGGCTGCTTTGCCGTCGTCAAGATCAACAGGAGGAGGAAAAGGAGGAGGAAGAAGAAGAGAAGGAACTTAAGTGCCCGCAAGGCTCGCTGCTTCGGCTCCGCTCTTCGCGCCTCCTCGGCTGAAAGCGAAAACGAGGGGAAGCCTC